TCAGAGATCATGATTACATGTATGCATTAAAGAGAAAACAGTAAGAGTCTGATGATGCTGAGCCTGCCCTATTGAATAGTGGTTAACACTCCATATGTTAAGAGAACATCTCTCTGGATCATGTAAATCTGTTATCGGGCAGGGAGAGGGGCAGCCCAAACCCCCGCAAACCTGCCTATTCTAAATGGGTTCTGCCATCCGCCGCATCAACACAAAACATAGGAGACTTTAATGGGAAGGAACTTTAATACAACTAGGAAACAATACAGGAAAGGCAAAGAGTCTAGTTTCTAAGTGAAGCACCCAAAGTTACCCGTCCCCTCGTGGGTAAAAGTCCATCCAAATGGGATTGGCCCAGAACAAGGCCCCAAAGCCTGCCACAAGTCTAAAGCACCTTCCAGTGGGGACCCACAGCAAAGGGTCAGAAACAATCAGACAAGCCCGGAAGGAAAAGAGCAAAATCAACATCAAGATAAAAGCTGCCATTGTCACCTCCCCACGGGTCTCACCACATCTGTGTCACCCAGTCCACGACCAAAAGACAAGCGCAGTTTCTTCACGTGTCTCTAGGCTCCATGCACCTCCTCCAGGTCTCCTGGCTCCATCCTGCTTCCTTCCTCAGTCTCTTCTGCAGCTTCTCCTCTTCCTGCTCAGCTCCACCCTCCCTTGGGTGGGGCAGGGAACCTCCCCCTCTCCTGGGGACCACCCTGTTGCAGGACCACCCTGTTACACAAAGTTCTCTTTGCTTTCACTGTGCCGGTACTACTGTCTGCCATGTGAAAACTTAACTTTACCACCATTTTTCTATGTTTGAATCTCAGAGAAATTTTTTTTGTTACATAGTACTCTATCATCTTTTTGTGCAAATGCATTATTAAGGTTGTTTCTGTATTTATCAAAACAGTTCTACCTGGTAGTGGTGCAGTGGCATTTGAAATCCCACTGTAGTGCTTTGGTGTGAATGATCCAAAGATGTAGACCATGGCTGTGAATTTTTTTTCAATTATTCAGATAAAAAAACCTAAAATTTAAAATACCTCAGCCAAATGAGAATGACTGAGAATGCTTCTGAAAATTAGCACATCTTGGAAGTCCAATATGAAAAATAAGGAACATTCTAGAGATAAATGATAAGTGAAAGGAGGTTGGTTATAGGAAAGCTTTTAGCTCAGAGTATTCTGAGTTTCCTAAAGTCCCTCAGGTAGCCTCGACTAACAGAACTCCAGTGAAGCAGTGACAAAGTGAAAAGGAAAGTATACCATGGCCAACAGCACCGTAGACTTTGGAGACCATTTTAGCTAAGTTCTGCAGCCTATGAGGAGGACAAAATAGACTGCCACAAGGGACCTAGTTGTCAGAACTTCTGATAAGAGCGCCTCTAGAACAGTGGCTCCCAAAGCCTGATGGGCTGCTTCAGCACCACAGGGGAGCCTGTGAGAAATACAGATGCTTGGGCCTCCCTGGTGGCCTAGCGGTTAAGTCTCAGTGCTATCACCGTTACTGCCAGAGTTTGATCCCAGCCAGGGAGCTGGCCCACATATGGCACAGCAGACCTCTTCTGTCTTGCAAACAGAAAATGTCATAGGAAATATAAAATGAGAATTGTACTGTAAGTCTGAAAAAAGACAATAAAATAATTTTCTCATACCTAAGAATCAAAAATCACAAAGTAAGTATATAGAGAATAAATTAATCAGGTAGATTTAAATTATATGTCTTGAATTCTATAGTTGGAGAGAAAATAAATGGCAAAGGGTTTGTAGTTTGGGGAAGAGAGTGAGAAACATGCAAAAAAAACCCCATATATATAAAAAATTAATCATTTATGATGAACAAAGAAAATGTTAATATATTCCAAAGTGGTACCATCCAGAAATGGTACAAAACATCTTTCTGAACTCAAAAACCAATGCAATTACAAATTAATAAAACAAAAAGAAAGAAAAAAAATAGAATTTTGGCGCCTTCAGTATATCGGACATGTCTTTAATGCTGCAGCAGAGGACTGGATAGGGAGGCAGTAACGGAGCCTACTAAGCTCCCCCTCCCCCTTCCCTGCAATCTCCACTTCATGGTCCTGTTCTCTGTAATTATAGGTGCTCTTGCTCCTAAGTGCTTTTTGCAGTAACACTTCTCATGTGTGGGTTATGAAACCTGGAGGGAAGCAGAGCTGCAGGGGGCAGCTGCAGAGGCTGGTGGTAGGAAGGCAAAAAAGAGCCTGAGTTACTCCATGTTCCTTACACACAATATAGTTTTATACTTTTCTGCCAGACTGGCTTCGCCTCTTCACCATTCAGAATTTGTTCCCCTTCTAGTAGACAGATGTCAAGGAACAAGCAAGGGAGTTCAGGTCATCCCTGGGACAGTAGTAAAAGCTAAGCACTACTCCCAGAGCTTTCTTTCCCAAGGAGTTGTTAAGCTGTTTCTACTAATGTTCAGAACATTGTCAGACCACAGGCTTTCCAAAGCCAAGGAGGAGAGCTGAGAGGGAAGATATACGCACGTTAGCCAATAGCAGCAGCTGAGGAAAGAACACTATTGGTACATTAGGAAGGATGAGCACCAGTTGTTTTTGATTTTTATGGAAGTAGAACTGAAGCTTTTGGAAAATGTGCTTGTATTACCTGGAAGTTCTTGACTTGGCACATTTTATGCTTGGACTCCAAAGGAAATGTTTCTCCATTATTTTGAACAGAAAAAACAAAAAGCTAAAGAAGTAAATTTCTTAAAATAATATTAAACAAAAATCATTTAGAAATGATTTCTCATAGGGGCCTCCCTGGTGGCGCAAGGGGTTAATGAGCACCGCACTATGAAGCAGTGCACAGCTTCTGTAGCATGAGTTCAATCCCTGGCCGGCCAGAGAGAAACCCACATGGCACAGCAGACCTCTCCTGTCTCGCCCTCTGCTCCCCTCAGCAGTGTATTTCAGTCATTCTGCCTGTTCTGTTCCTCACTCTGTCTCTGGTGAAGCCTCTCACCCCTCGCATCTCTGGCCTGTACCCCAGCTCTTGTATGCATAAATTAAAAAAAGATTTTCCAGGGCCTCCCTTGGTGGCGCAGGCGGTTGAGCACAGCGCTGTGAAGCTGTCCACAGCCTCTGCAGTGCCGGTTCCATCCCAGCCGACGGGCGAGGGTCCCACATGGCGCGGCAGACCTCTCCTGTCTCCCCCGCTGCTCCCCACAGCAGTGTGTTTTGTCAGTCTGCCTGTTCTGTTCTCTGCTCTGTCTCTGGTGAATCCTCTCACCTTCCCGCGCATCTGGCCCATACCCTGGTTCTTGTATAAATAAATAAATCTTAAAAAAAAAAGATTTCCCATAGAATATACCGTAATAAACTAGTAAGATTTGAACGGAAATGAAAGAAATTATTTTTACATATGACTGACAGAAGTTTGTATCCAGAATATATTAAAAGCATCTATTAAAAAGTAAAGGTAAACAACTATCTTAAAGTTGGAAGTACAAAGTGGAGGTTTATAACTTAGAAATGATAACAATAATTTGTTTGAAAGAGTCTGGAACTACTGGTAACTACTGAACTCGATGAGGTGCCAGCAGAGTAGGTGCAAGCCAGACCTGTCTTGAGCAGTTACTCAAATTGCCGGCAACTTAACCTCTGCATAAGCACAGTTCTGTTAATTTGCTTGTTATTGGACCCAGGTGGTTGCCCATCAGGCCACTAGCTGACAGACCCCCGTGGTGAACTTACCTTTCTTCTTAGGAGATGAAAACATATCAAAGGATCCATAAAATGTTTGAGGAGGAAAATATATTAGTTGAAATATTAGGTTGGAAAAACTTGAGGGAAGGGGATATTAAAAGAAATATACCCAAAGAAAATATATCCAGACTTTGAAGTACTGGTCGTTCTGCAGCCAAGGAAAATTGAGCTGAATCACTGAGTGTAAGGATTGTGCTCTATGGACATAGGAACATTTTATGAGGCAACTGTTCCACATATATGGCAAGCATTTAAAGAAATGCTTTATTTTTATTTCACACTCTTTGTGGAACTTACTTTAAGTCTCCTTTCCTATGTGTAGAATAAATCCTGCTGTATCTAGAAAGATGGTGCTGATTGAGTCACCTCCTAGCTGTTGGGGAGAATTCCACACAGTGAGGAGTGGTGATGGTCCTTTCCTATGATCATACCCAGTAGTGGTGCCATGTCCCCACAGAATTCTGATTATTTTACTAAAACATTTTCAGAATGCTATGTTTTTTTCTTTAAAAAGAGAACCTTTTCCAAAATATTAATTTCCAGGGCCTCCCTGGTGGCGCAGAGGGTTGAGTGCAGCTTTGTGAAGCTGTCCTCAGCCTCTTCAGCGAGGGTTCAATTCCTGGCCCACCAGGGAGATTCCCACATGGCGTGGCAGACCTCTCCTGTTGCGCCCGCCTGCATGTTTTGCTCCCGCTCTGTCTCTGGTGAATCCTCTCACTCTCCCCCACCTCTGGCCTATACCCCAGCTATTGTATAAATAAAAAAAAATAAGCAAATAGATCTTTAAAATAAAAAAAAACAAAATATTAATTTCCAGTGGTGTGCAGCCATTCATCCCACAGGAAATGTAGGAATTTTTATACTGTCCTATGTTATTCCTAAGTCAGGAAATAATGTTTCCCTAAACAATGTACAGTAGAACAAATGTGCCTTAAACATATAGTGCTTAAGGAAAGTACTCTGGTAACAGAAATTAGAAAGTCATTTAGGGAAGAATTTTGTTATGGCACATATTATAAATTCTTTCCCACTAAAATTCAATTATCAGCAATTAAAATTTCTATCAGGTAGCTGTTTTAAAGGATTTGAATCTTACTCCTCTTAATCAACCAAAAATAAAAGATGGAGGCATTGAATGATCCATAAACAAAGTAGTGTGATATATGATCAACGAATATATGACCCAAGAAATTAGATTTTTATTTAACCTAATAATATATCTAAGCAGGGGGGATGACTCGTCATTTTAAATGTTCATGTTTCTTTCTCTTCATAGCTTTAAGAAAACGTAGAAATCTTCTGACTGAGCTGAATCGCAAAACTTCAGTGACTCCCAGCACTGCACATCATGGCGCTACCATTCCGGAAGGACTTAGAAAAGTACAAGGACCTTGATGAAGATGAGCTCCTGGAGAATCTGTCAGAAATAGAACTGAAACAACTGGAAACTGTGCTGGATGATCTTGACCCTGAGGTTGGTGCTAGCTAAACAAAAGAAATAACTTTCAGACCCTTCGAAACTAAGTAGCTGCCTTTGAGCAGTTAGCTTTTTCATGAAGTGTTCCTGGCATACCCATCCCCTTCTCCTTTATCTAAGTGCAATTTTTGCTTTCTTCAGTTCTGCCTCCATATCTTCTTTTTCAAAAAAAATTTTTTAAAAGATTTATTTATTTATACAAGAACCCCGGGGTACAGGCCAGATGTGCGGGAGAGTGAGAGGATTCACCAGAGACAGAGCGGGGAACAGAACAGGCAGACTGATGAAATACACTGCTGAAGGGAGCAGCGGGCGAGATAGGAGAGGTCTGCCCCACCATGTGGGTATCTCCCTGGCCGGCCGGGATCGAAGCTGCACTGCAGAGGCTGCGGACAGCTTCACAGTGCGATACTGAGCTGCCTGTGCCACCAGGGAGGCCCTCTGCCTCCATATCTTTACATACTTTTATTTCTGTTCTTTTTTTTTAAAATCTGCCTTTAAACTTTTTGTGTGTGTTTTTTCATCTTATTTTGTTTTTGTTGTTAGTTGACGTGACTATTCTAAACTGTGTTCTCTAACATTTTTATATTCAAACATCTGAAATTTTCTCTCCTGAAATCTATTTTCTTTGGCCAGGGAGACATGTTTTTGGTAAAATGCAGCAGATGATTAATTAGCTCTTTGATGTATACCAACTTCTACCTCTTTCAGAACTTCAAAATCAGGATGACACTAGTGTACAGTGTCTCTAGATGGTTAAATCTGATTATTACCATTCTGAAAGATGCTGACCAAATTGAATAAGTTTCTAGTCCTTGGTATGATAGATCTAAGTAGGCTTTCAGCAGTACTGCAGCCCACTGTGGAGCAGACCTGAACATATATATTGTGTATATATTTATCTGGCATGCTATCCAAAATGATGAAATAATGCTGACAATATGAGTATAATTTTCTCCTGGTGGAGTATTTTTATATAAATATAAGTGTATATGTTTTAATTTGAAAAATGGATGCTGTTTCATATAAATTATACAAACGAATAATTTGACCCTTCTTGAATTGCTATTCCCTGGTATGTATTAAGTGGGAGGGTGAGAGGCAGGGAGGGGAGAACCCAAAGATTATGTAAGGCTCCTTAACCTGAAGACCGCATGCTAGTCTTCTTTTCTTGATCACATTTTTATTTATGCTAAGACATTGATTTATGGTGTCTTTTAAGGATTAAAGTGCAGCTTGTTTTCTAAAATTGTTCTTGTTAACTACCACACATTTATTTCCTGATGGAGTATTTTTATTGAAAATTACACTCATATTCTCACCATTACTTCATCATTTTGGATAGCATGCCTGTTCCATAGATCAAATTCCTTAATCATATTTGTCATAGGAAATTTGAGGGTTAACTTAGGATAACATTGTTTTGATCATATCACATCAATTTCCTTTCAATCTGTTGCCTGTAGAACTAGGCAAAATATGAGTTCATGTAGTCCAGGTCTTCTCAACCTTGGCACTGTGAACATTTTCGGTTGGAAAATTCTTTGCTTTTATAGTGCCCTCTGCATTGTAGGTTGTTTAGCAACATCCCTGGCCTCCATTAACTACATGTCAAAAACCCTGTTTAAAATATACCCGGGATTTTGTCTTATTGGGTATGGTAAAATGACATGTGGAGACAACTCCCTTGCCAGAAGAGTTTTTATTACATATAGTTCCCAGTAGCAGTAGGCATACCAAGATATACAAGGGAAGTACTTGGCTTGGGTAGGCAATAGAAGGAGTAAGGAATAAGCATAGTGCCCAGAACCTTTATTGTGATTTTCCAGGACAGAACCAGTCAGGCAGGGTATGCAAATTTGTACAAGTTTGGGCTTGAGTAGTTTGAATAATTTCAGTGGGCTTTGGGCCACAGAGTGGTCTTTAGCTGTCTAATTCCTGGCCCTAGGCAGGGGAAATATTGACATGATATACAAAAGAGAAAGGAGGTGGCTGGGGACTTCTGGGTTGTTGAGTTATGTATGGAAGCCACACTGGAGGTGGGAGGAGTAATTTCCTATCCCCAGATTGGGAGGGGCAGTCTTTTTAGGTTTAGCAAGTCCCCCAAGATGTCACAGCATCATAAAATACAGAAAATAAAAATCATGATTATACTGCTTTCCCCTGTGGTGACAACCAAAAACATCTTTGGGCATTGTCAGAAATCCCCTGGGAGACAAAAACACCCTGACTGAGAAATACTAATTTAATGCTTGCCCTCTGTTGTACAGATGGAAAATAAAAGTTAGGTGCCTTGCCTCAGTTATTGCAATTAGAGAATGAACTGAGACTGGATCCTTCATTGTCTAATTGATCCCTGTGGTCTTTCTGTTAAACTGTAGTTGTCCCCAGTTAATGCATGCCCCCTGCCATAGGTCTAGAAGTTGATGATTTATATTTACAAATTGCGAATCAATAACCTTTTGTATGGGGAAATGAGTTCTAACCTTGGGATGTATTCCAGCTTCCCCAGCCTCAGATACTGTTACTAGTTAAGACTAAATGAACAGTGATGTTTATTGGGTGTATGTTTTAGAAAGAGTATCAGTAAAGAACCAGACAAGAAAAGAGGACAAGGGAGAAGCAGCTAATTCAACCAGAGAAATACCACTGTAACTCACAAAGTCTCAGAAGGTAGGTAAAGAAGAGCAGATGAAGGCTGTTTATGTTGCCTTACTGCATTTCGGAGGGCCATTTTACTTTCTATATGCTATATCAGTATATTTATTAACTAACTTACTACATTTTCTCCAAGCATCTATTTCCAAAAAAGATGGCCAGCCTAGGCAAAAGCTATTTTTCCATTTTGCAGGCTGGGAACATATAGTTACAACAGAGTTCCACTGAAGGGAGAAATGTGCTTTTTAGTGACAGTCATTTTTTTTTTAAAGATTTATTTATCTATGCATACAAGCTAGGGGACAGGCCGAGACATGGGGGGTGAGCAGAACAGGCAGAGTGACTGAAATACACTGCTGAGGGAGCAGCGGGTGAGACAGGAGAGATCTGCTGCGCCATGTGGGTTTCTCTCTGGCCTGCTGGGGATTGAACTCTTGTTGCAGAGGCTGCGGATTGCTTCCTGGTATGGTGCTTAACCCCTTGGCCACCGGGGAGGCCCAGTAACAGTCATTTTAATGAGATTTTTATCTGTTTAAGTAATTATGATCTGTTAACTTAGTTGATTAAGGTATTCCTCTGTTGAAACTTCGTTCACAAGTTTATAGCCTCCAAACCCAGTTAACTGTCATTCATTCATGGTCAGTGGCTATACTATGAAACTAGAATTCCTACTAACATCGTTTAAAACCTGGATATTTGACATGGGTTTGAGTAGGAGAAAATAGTGTAGCTCTATCACTGTCATTATGAAATAGCAACACATACATGTAAGCCTAATGATGGTGAAGGAAACTAACTTATTAATTTTCTTTAATGAGCATTTTTCCTTAAAGTCTTCTCAAATCTTTATTCAGTAAATATTTGGGAACAACCTTTAGATCTGAGGCACTGTGCTAGGTTTAGGGATATAAAAGTGAGCAAAACAAATGTGGTCTTTGCCTTTCTGATGCAGGATGGTAGAAATGTGGGGCAGTAGACATCAATTAAATAGTCCTGCCACAAGAGCATAGGAAAAACTTCCTTGGGGGAAATGAGCTGCAGGCTGAGAAATGAGTAGCAACAAAGGATGGACAGAACCTTGCAGGGAAGGCCTATGGCCACTGTGAGGAAAGGGAAGGGAATTGATGGTGTGACTAGCATGGAGATGAGACTAGGATAACACATTGGGAGGGCAGGGGGGAGTGAGAAGTAAGGAAGTGATCCATGGTCCAGGAACAACAGCTGGAAAACTAATGTACAGCAGAATTACAGGCAAGTTTGCATCTTAGTGTGGGCCATAGTAATGGTGTGGGAGATGGGGAACAGTAAACTGACGGAATTTTTTTAGCAGTGAGAGTGCTTTTTGCAAATCCTTTCTAGTGCTGATGTGTGCACATATACATACACATAGAAGGTGAACATTTCACATTGTATTTAAACATAAACAGGTAAACACTGATTTCCTCATATCCTGCTGTATGGTATGCATGTTTTTTTTTTTATCATGAGAAAGTCTACAGTGAAATGGTAGTCATTATGATAGACTACGATGTATTTAGTCTTTCACATTTTTTGTAATAGATTTTCTGTATACCTCTATGCTGAGCAATTATTAAACATTAAGAAACATGATTTTTTAATTACTAACCCAGAACATTTTAAAAAGAAAAGGGTGTTCATGCTAGTTTAATACTTTCTGAAAGGAGGCACTGTATACGCCTATTTTTTTAAAATAATAATGTAAGTCAGTTCTGCCTAATTTAAAAAAAAACAACTTGGGAACTCTTTTACATTGCTACCTTAACATTCTGGAACAAAGTAGTTAATGCCTACTTCACACTCTAATTTAGAATTCTTACATGGTTAATCTATGGATGCATATAGCTTTAGTATTCTGGGTGAGTATAATGGCGGATTCATTTTCTTTGTAGAATGCCCTACTGCCTGCAGGATTCCGGCAGAAGAACCAGACATCAAAGTCTGCTACGGGGCCGTTTGACAGAGAACACCTCCTTTCATATCTGGAGAAGGAAGCACTGGAGCATAAGGACAGGGAAGACTATGTGCCCTACACTGGAGAAAAAAAAGGTAAACAGAATATGAAAACGTTATTTGATAGCTTTAATTTTTCTTTTTTCTTTTATAAGATTTATTTATTTATGCATGGAAGAGCTGGGTTGTAGGCCAGAGGTACAGGGCATGAGAGGATTCACCAGAGACAGAGTGGGGAGCAGTACAGGTGGGTTTACTGAAATACACTGTTGAGGGGAGCGGCAAGTGAGACAGGAGGACCTGCGCCAAGTGGGTTAGCTTCCTGGCCGTGGATCTAACTCAGGCCATAGTGGTGATAGGATGATAGCCCTGAGATTTAACCCCTACACCACCAGGGATGCCCTGATTCTTTTTTTATATATATAGGTCTGGAGAAAATAATGTTTTCAGAGGTGCATGATTGCTAGCCTTAAAGATACTTTTGACTTAAAAATTTGTTAGGTAATTTGGGAATTTCTTGTACATTTTTCATCAACTTGACCAATAAGTTCCTGCTTAATATTTTGTTAGTATTTACACAGCAATTTTATATAACATTCTTTAATCCTCTACTGTAGTAATTGCCAAAAATATGCTGAGATAAAAATTTTAATTCACTAGTGTATGACAGATAGAGCACTGCTCTATATTGACTCCTATCTTTAAGGTGGAATGCTATAAAATCATCAAGGCTCCGGCCTCCCTGGTGGTACAGTGGGTTGAGCGCGGTGGTGTGAAGCTGTTCACAGCTTCTGGTGAAGCTGTCCGCAGCCTCTACGGCATGGGTTCGATTCCCGGCCTGCCAGGGAGAAACCCACATGGCGTGGCAGACCTCTCCTGTCTCTCCTGCTGCTCCCCTCAGCAGTGTGTTTCAGTCCTTCTGCCTGTTCTGTTGCCTGCTCTGTCTCTGGTGAATTCTCTCGCCCTCCCGCACCTTTGGCTGGTACCCCGGTGCTTGTATAAATAAATATATCTTTGAAAAAATAAACTGTCTTCCTATCTTTAAAAAAAAAAAAAATCATGAAGGCTCTATTTTCAGACACTGTTTTTAAAGGCTATCTTCTAGCCTTCTTTAATAATTCATAGTTAGAGTTGCCAATGCTTCATAATCATTACTTTCAGAAACTTTTCCTAGTCCAAGTCCCTCCCATAGCAGACCACATGTATCTTTACCGGCAACTGACTACAGCATAGGACGTAAATGATCTGTATATAACACTGTTTTTAAAGGCTATCTTCTAGCCTTCTTTAATAATTCATAGTTACAGTTGCCAATGCTTCATAATCATTACTTTCAGAAACTTTTCCTAGTCCAAGTCCCTCCCATAGCAGACCACATGTATCTTTAGCGGCAACTGAATACAGCATAGGACGTAAATGATCTGTATATAATAACACTTAACATGAAGTTAAATTTCTCCGCTTTCAATACAGATAGGCCAGAGAAGTCAAATTCTACTTGCACAGTTAGGATATTTGTGTATGGAAGGAATACTGAGGAATGGTAGTGGAAGTAATAGAACTGAAGGACTCTTCCAGGCACTTTGTTTACATCTAAATCCGTAATGCTCCGGGCAAGGAGAATGGTAAGAATGTAGTGCTTTTCTCAGTGAGGCTTAAGCTTTTTATTTGGGAAGGAAGCACTTCTCAAGAATATTGGCCACAGCTGTATCACTGCTCCTTAGCTGCAAGGAAAGCTGAAAAGTTTATTTTAATGTTCCATTGTCTATAGTAGAGGAAGACTGGTGAATGATTTTTGAGTAGATAGTCTTCAAGGTCTGCATCGAGCCTTTTCAAAATTATCTTTTTTAAAAAAGATTTATTTGTTTATGCATACAAGAACTGGGCTACAGGCCAGAGGTGTGGGGGGTGGTGGGGAACAGAACAGGCAGAGCAACTGAAATATACTGCTGAGGGGAACAGCAGGCCAATCAGGAGAGGTCTGCTGCACCATGTGGATTGCTCCCTGGCCGGAGATTGAATTCGTGCTACAGAGGCTGAGAATAGCTTCATGGGTTGAGTCTTAACCCCTTGAGCCATCAGGGAGGCCCACTTTTCAAAATTATCTATGAGCTCTAACCCCTCTACTTTTCTGTGGTCTCCTTCTTCACCTTATCTCTAGTTGAGTCCCTACCATAGCTACTTGTGTTAGGGTTCTCGAGAGAAGCAGAACCAAAAGCATGTGCGTACATGTGTAACATCTGTCTGCCTACCTACCTACATACCTACCTATCTACAGGTTGGGACTAATTGATTTTAAGGAATTGATTCATTCATTTTTGAGACTTAGGGAGTCCAAAATATACAGAGTAGGTCAGCAAGTTCAGTTCAAGTCCAAAGAAGGTAGTCTGCTGACAGAATTCCTTCTTGCTCATGGAGTCTTTGTACTATTAAGGCTTTAAGCTGATAGGATGGAGTTTATGACATTATGACTATTTAAAGTCCGTTGATTTAAATGCTAATCTCAAAAGAAAAAAAATAAGGTCTTCACAGAAGCATCCAGATAATATTTGACCAATGTCTGGGTACTATGGCACAACCAAATTGGCACATAAAATTAATCGACACATTATTGTAAGAGATAGCATGTTCCTCAGGTGTTTGGAGCCAGAAAAAGAATGAAAACCAATGCAGTATTTTGAAGTATGGGGAATCACAAAAGTAGAAAGGCAAAAGCATCTGTTCCTTTGTGTCATGCAGGAGACTGTTGATTGTATTTTAATCCGTACAACCATACCTATAACACTGTTTATAGTTTCAATCTGGTTTATATAGAAGACCATAATTTTATAAGAATAAATATAGGTTGATCACCTTTTACTATTATACATGTTTTAGGTGGATGCTGGATTACAATTAGGAAGAAGAATGGTGTTAGAAACAGTGGGAGAGATTAAGAGAAAAGAGATGGCAGAAAAAAAGGTGGACTTTGAGGACAAGAAGGGGAAAAAAAGAGATGAGAAGGCGCTGCATTTGTCCTGAACTGACCCAGGAAGCCCTCTAGCATGCTGCTGTTCCATAATCCCCAGTTACCTAGGAGAAAATCTTGGAGGATTAGAGGAGGTGAGAAAGAAGGTAGAGGAGAGTGGAAAATAAAAGATCATAGGGAGAAATCATAGCAGTGAGGAATAAGGTTGACAATAGCGAAGAAATGCTTATCGATATTCAACTGTAGTTTAAAGTACAGATTTGTTTCCTTTTTAACCTTTTAAAATTTCATCTTGTTTCTTAGGTTTCAGATTGATATAAAATAAATGGAGGTAAATTAAAAAGCAAATGATTTTGCTTTCACAATTAGTGGTTATCTATTTATAATGCATCCCGTGTTTTCACTGCTTCTTTTAGTTATGTCTGTTTGTTAAATAATTATTTTTGCAAGCTATGCTGTAATAATTACAACCTTGGCATTTGTTAACATAGTCAACCTTTTGAAGTATTGCATCTTACTAAAAATGTACAAATCAGATGGATCCAGGTCAATGAATTCTATGGTGAGCACACCCATGTAATCTCCACGCTTATCAAGACTTTGTCAGCAACTCAGAAAGTCACTTTCTGCCTCCTCCCACTCACTTTTCCCTTCTTCCTAAAGGTTACCAGCATCATAACTTCTAAAGGAATCATACAGTCTGGGTGTCTGCCTACTTCCTACATTTTTTTTGTGAGGACAAAATTTGTTAATGGATAAAGTGAAATCACTGTAAAATTCCTTTATAGTATCATTATGAAGGTCATATGGGTGTTATTATCAAACGAGATTGCCAGTCTCAGTCATACTTGGAAGTGAGGTTTTTGAGTTTCAGCAGTTCATCTGATGGAAACAAATACTACCACACTGCACTTGATGGAGTTCAGCATTTTAAGTCATTATAGTGCCGCAGACCTGAAGAAGTACAAATTTAGCTTCAACAATTCGGGAACTTTGGTTGTATAGCTCTACTTTGAAGTATGACTAAAAGCCAAATAGTCTTCTCATATCTACCCCAGGCTCTCATTCTTAAATCAGTTAGCCTTGGGTATCAGTAGTCACAAATATGCCTTCCTTTCTTTGGGTCTCATCTCTGAGATCTTGATCACATTTGCAGGATAATTCATGTGTATCTTATTAGCAATCCCCTCTCAAGCTCTGAAAATCCAGAGCTTGGTGTTTTTTTCCTCAGATATCTCTCCAAGTGACTCTTTAGTCTGAACATCTGGGTTGTGTCCCAAATTTGTTACAGAGATAGACTTTCAGTTTGAGGATGGCTTTCCAGATAGTAGAGTCTCCTAGTTCTGAAAGAGTTTACAAGCCAACCTTTGTTGTTGTTTTTTTTTAAGATTTATTTATGCATACAAGAACTGGGGTACAGGCCAGAGGTGTGGGGGTTGAGAGGATTCACCAGAAACAGAGTGGGGAACAGAACAAGCAGATGTACTGAAATACACTGCTGAGGGGAGCAGCGGGAGAGTCAGGAGAGGTCTGCTGCACCATGTGGGTAGCTCCCTGGCCGGGATCAAACTCTTGCTGCAGAGGCTGCGGATAGCTTCATAGGTTGCATCTTAACCCCTTGTGCCACCAGGGAGGCCCATCAAGCCTACCTTTGTTTAAAAACAAAAACATTTTATTTTGGGCCTCCCCCGTGTCGCAGCGGTTGAGCGCTGGGTTGCGAAGCTGCCCACAGCCTCTGCAGCGCCCGTTCGATCCCCAGCTGCTCCCCGGCCACCGGAGGAGGGTCCCACATGGCGCGCAGACCTCTGCTGCCGCCCGCTGCTCCCCTCAGCAGTGTGCTTCGGTCCTTCTGCCTGCTCTGCTCCCCACTCTGACTCTGGTGAATTCTTACACCCTCCCACGCTTCTGACTGTACCCAGTGGTTGTATAAATAAATAAATAAATCTTTTTAAAAAAAAAAAAATTTTATTTTGTTGGTGTAATTGGACTACTTAGAATCCACAAAATGTGCCACAGGTCTCCAAAAAAAATCATTTTTCCTATTAACATGACCGGTCTCAGAGTTCAGTACCTGATGGCATATTAGCTTTCTGTGCCAGGGAGTGTTACAATGACATCACTTAGTTCC